CTATGGGATGCAGCGAAAACAGTCCTGAGAGGGAAGTTCATAGCACTACAGGCCTACCTCAAGAAACAATAAAAATTCCTAATTGACTTTCTAACCCTACAATTTAAAGAACTGGAAAGTAAACAAAAAGAAAAACCCAGAGCTAGTAGGAGGAAGGAAATAGTAAAGATCAGAGCAGAAATAAACAACATAGAGACCAAAAAAACAATTCTAAAGATCAATGAAACAAAAAGCTGGTTCTTTCAAAAGATAAACAAGATCAATGGACCTTTAGCCAGACTCATCAAGAAACAAAAAGAGAGAAACCAAATAAACAAAATCAGAAATGAAAGAGAAGTAACAACTGACACCACAGAAATACAAAGGATCATCAAAATATACTATGAACAATGATACGCCAACAAGTTGGACAATCTAGGAGAAATGGACAAATTTCTAGAAACACACAGCCTTCCAAAACTAAACCAGGCAGAAATAGAAAATATGAACAGACCAATAACAACAAAGGAAATTGAAGATATAATTAAGAAACTCCCAGCAAACAAAAGCCCAGGCCCGAATGGCTTCACAGCGGAGTTTTACCAAACATTCAAAAAAGATCTAATACCCATTCTTCTCAAATTATTCCAAAAAATCCAAGAATACGGAACACCTCCAAACTCATTTTATGAGACAAGCATAATCCTAACTCCAAAACTGGATAAAGACACTACAAAGAAAGAAAACTACAGGCCAATATCCCTGATGAAGACAGATGCCAAAATCCTTAACAAAATATTAGCAAATCAGATCCAACAATACATTAAAAAAAATTATTCAGCATGACCAAGTGGGATTCATCCCAGGAATGAAAGGATGGTACAATATTCAAAAATCCATAAATGTGATACACCACATAAACAAAATGAAAAATAAAAACCAGATGATCATATCATTAGATGCTGAAAAAGCATTAGACAAAATCTAGCATCCATTGCTGATAAAAACCCTCAGCAATGTGGAAATAGAGGGATCATATCTCAATATAATAAAAGCCATATATGAAAAACCTACAGTCAACATCATACTCAATGGGCAGAAACTAAAAGCATCCCCCTTTAAGAATGGGAACAAGACAGGGATGCCCACTTTCGCCACTCTTATTCAACATAGTACTGGAAGTCTTAGCCACAGCAATTAGACATGAAGAAAAAATAAAAGGAATCCAAAATGGAAAGGTGGAAGTGAAACTGTCATTATTTGTAGATGACATGATATTATACATAGAAAACCCTAAAGACTCCATCAAAAATATACTAGAGTTAATAAATGAATTTGGCAAAGTAGCAGGATACAAAATTAACATCAAGAAATTGACAGCATTCTTATACACCAACAATGAACTCACAGAAAGAGAAACTAAAAAAAACAAGCCCACTAACCATCACAGCAAAAAAATTAAGATACCTAGGAATAAACTTAACCAAAGAAGTAAAGGACCTCTTCACAGAAAACTACAGGTCATTGAAAAAAGAAACAGAGGAAGATATAAAAAAGTGGAAGCACATACCTTGTTCATGGATCGGAAAAATTAACATCATTAAAATGTCCATACTACCCAAAGAAATCTATAGATTCAATGAAATCCCCATCAAAATACCAATGACATATTTCACAGAACTAGAACAAACACTCCAAAAGTTCATTTGGAACCAAAAAAGACCCCAAATAGCCACAGCAATCTTGGAAAAAAAAAGAACTAAGTAAGAGGAATCACATTACCAGATATCAGGTTATGCTACAAAGCCACTGTAATCAAAACAGCCTGGTACTGGCACAAGAACAGATAGATAGATCAATGGAACAGAACAAAGAACCCAGAAACTGACCCAAGACAATATTCCCAATTAATATTTGACAAAGTTGGCAAGAGCATACAGTGGAGTCAAGACACTCTCTTCAATAAATGGTGTTGAGAAAATTGGACAGCTACTTGCAAAAATGAAGCTAGACAACCAACTTACAACATACACAATAATAAACTCAAAATGGATAAAAGACTTAAATGTAACTCGTGAATCCAAAAAAATTCTAGAAGAAAATGTAGGCAACAAAATTTCAGACATTATACGCAGCAGAATTTTCACTGATACCACACCTAAGGCAAGAGAAACAAAGGAAAAAATTAATACATGGGACTACATCAAACTAAAAAGCTTCTGCACAGCAAGGGAAATAATCATCAAAATGGAAAGGGAACCCACCATATGGGAGACCATAATTTCCCATGTTGCAAGAGATAAGGGATTAATTTCCAAAATATATAGAGTACTCATGCAACTCAACAAAAAGAAGACAAAGAACCCAATTAAAAAATGGGTAAAGGACCTAAATAGACACCTCTCCAAACAGGACATACAGATGGCCAAGAGACATATGAAAAAATGCTCAACATCACTAATCATCAGAGAGATGCAAATGAAAACTAGGAAGTATCACTTCACACCTGTCAGAATGCCACCATCAACAAATAATCAAACAAGTATTGGCAAGGGAGTGGAGAAAAGGGGACTCTAGTACACTGTTGGTGGGAATGCAGACTGGTGCAGCCACTATAGGAAACACTATGGTGTTACCTCCAAAAGTTAAAAATTGAATTGCCATTTGACCCGGTGATCCCACTTCTAGGAATGTACCCTAAGAAGCCTGAAACACCAATCAGAAAGAATATATGTATCCCTATGTTCATAGCAGCACTATTTACAATAGGTAAGATCTGGAAACAAATCAAGTGTTCATCAGTAGATGAGTGGATAAAAAAGCTGTGGTACATGTACACAATGGAATACTATGCAGCCGTCAGAAAGAAAGATCTCTTATCCTTTGAGATGACATGGAGGGACCTGGAGAGTATTATGCTAAGCGAAACAAGCCAAGCAAAGAAAGACAAATTATCACAGGATCTCACTTATTAGTGGAATAAAATGAACTAAACACTCTGATGAACAAAACTGACCCAGAGACACAGAGGTAGGGTACAGACTGACAAACCACAGAAGAGGGGGAGTTGGGGGGGGAAGAGATAAACCACAGAACGTATATGCATGTATGCATAACCAATGGACATAGACAACAAAGCTGGGGAAGGGGCGGGGGGAATGGGGAGAAGAGTGGCAATGGAGGAAAAAGGAGAAATATCTGTAACTAAAACATATTAAAAAATAATTATAAATAAAATAAAATGAATAAATATATAAATACATAGAAATAAAACTATCACTACAAAAAAAAATAAATTTTGTATTACTTCATGCTATAAGTAGTCCACTTAGAGAACTCATTGCTCTATGAGGAGATTAAGGAATGAAAATATAAACTGCTTCAAAATAAATTCTATAAATATAAAGAGGTGTTATATGCCAAATACTATGTTAGGTGCTAGGAAAAAGACCCTGAATAATATCTGGCTCCTATAGATTTAAATATATAGAGACAGGCATTAAAGTAAACTGAAACACCTGGTTTATGCACTAGTCTGAGGCAAAGGCAGTCAGCTTTGGCCGGAGAGTAAGGAAAGAATTATGAGCAGAGAGTGCTAGCAGGCAGCTGAGTGCACAGAAACTGGACTGCACTCTATGTGCAATACAAATCTAACAAAAACTGGAAGAAGGCTACGTAACAAAGCTATGAGTAGTAGTGATATATAGGTTGGACTGAAGAGAAAAAATATTAGAGGCAAGAAGCAGGCAGAGTCCATAGAACCTTCAGTGACCCCAAAGTGAAAATTCTGAAAAGTACATTAAAAATAATTACAATATTTTCATGTCTGGTTCTGTGTTATTATTATTATTGTTGATTTTTAGAGAGAGAAACACTGATGAGAGAGAAACATCAACTAGTTGCCTCTCGTAGGCACCCAGACTGGGGATCAAACCTGCAATCTAGTTATGAGCCCTGACTGGGGATTGAACCCACAACCCTTTGGTGCAATAAGCTCCAACCGAGTCACTCGGCCAGGAGTCATGTCTAGTACTGAGACTTATTAAGAAATTGACATTCAGAGTAGTAAAGTATCCAATATAATATCACAATGTCAAAAGTTTAAATGGACCATACAAGAAAAACTGAACCACCTAAATCTATCTTGAGTCTAGGTAATGTTTGCTTACTTCATAATCAATTGAAAAAAAAAATCCAGCATTTATATTCTGAAATATACAAATATAAGATTGAAGTTAACTAATGCAAGTAATAAAAGAGTCATTTTTATTAGATTTGGAAGGGCCCTTATATTTTAGTATAATTCATGTTCTGGAAATTCCTGACAGTAGAAATAGAAAAATAGAATGTTGTCTAATTTTCTCCCTCTCTTCCTTTGCCCCATTCTAAATCAGAATAGACCACTCCCAAATTTCTGCAAAAGATCAATCTAAAGCAGATAAGGTTTTCTTAGTTAATCTGTTGTTTCGTATCTTTCCTGAGGCTGTGAGGCCAATTTGCTTTGATTAAGCCAACCTCTGCCACTCTGAAAGCCTGAAAAAGAGGACCTCAGATTCTTGGCCTCCCTACATGTTCAAACTTTGGAACTAACTGTTCCATAATAGGATTTTCCCAAGAAATAATGTTTAGATCTTGGAACTCAATGCATTCCAAAAGATGTCCATTTTTGTTGAATTTTTACAGCTTCTGAGAAAAGATCTAAAACTGTTCTCTGGGTTTTCCTATATGAGGATCCCTTATTGTATGGATCAGTCCAGTTATAAGGTATAGTGGACTAGACTTAAATTGATAGAAACAAAAACATCAAGTAATGTAAAAGTGTAAAAATAAAGGAAACATTGATACAATCAGGTCTAGTATAATACATGCTGTTGCTAAAACAATCTGTTGACCAAATGCCCTAGCTTGAAATCTGTATTATTTTTATTTTTACTCTGAATCTTGACCCACTTAACAAATAATGGCTCTGGTGAGGAACATCACATTGGAATATACTTCAGGGTAAGCTTTAGTTTTCTCACCTAATACTCTGAACGGGAGAATTTAATGTTTCATCCTGCACGCAACTGAGTACGGCTGCTTCTCCTTCTGGGACAGCTTGTACTGGCTGTACTACGTGGACAGTCCGGAAGAGCTGGGTAGGATATGGAGACTGAGTGGGCTGCACTGTCCTCAGAACCTCTGACGGCTGTGCAACTTCCACAGGATCTTTGGTTTTAGTAGCTTTAGTATTCCCTGGTTTTAGAACTGTAGTGGCTCCTCCTTTTATCCCAGGATTTGAAGATACTCTTGATCGGCCTGCTTGGTTCCTGCTTGAAGTGGTTGTTGCTGACAGTGATGGATCTGAAGACTCTATGTTGGAACTTGGATCTTCATCATCTATATAAATAAGATCTTTTGGCATTTCCTTAAACTGATATACCAAGCGCTGACCTTCTACTTTTGCCAGAATACCCCTCTGGTAATAGTACCTATTCGAAGCAGACAATTTCATCAATATTTTTTTCAATTAAACATAAATGAAAATAATACTAACCAAAACAAAAATTTCCTAATAATAAAGTTTAAAGTTGGAAATAAATGAGAAAAAAATTTCTAAATGAAGGGCAATTATTTTACATAAGATAGTGTAATTAAAAATATTATTTTCTAAATATATGTAAAACACACATTTATTCAAAGATAGAGAAAAGTCCTTATTACCAACTGAATGTAAAACCAATTCTAATTGAGGGTTTTGTTGATAAAGTATATAGATTATTCTAGCCTTCATTTTTTTCCCCCTTCTGTTAACTTGCTGGAATAATCAAATCTAGTACCACCCTTAAGAAACTATTTCCCATCCATAGTTTCCTGTAATGTCCCTACCAGTTTAAATTTGATTCTGTAAACTTAATTCAGTTTTCTATATAAAATTTAATGATGTACAAAATAAAAGGGATTCAAATTTTGTCAATAACATAAATTAAATGAGTAAGCAAAATGTTTAAGTTAAAAAAACAAACTAAATACACAGTTTTAGTTTAAGGTTATTAAGTTATCACATCATTGCTATTTTTAATATATTTTTCTCAAATACTATCTTGAGAAATAAATGACATGATCACAGAAAAACTAAAAGCAAGCTGAAAAGTAAAATGATACCTTAAGTTGAAATTTTTCAATGTCTAATATCCTTAAAGCAATAATTTATTCTACCATAAGATATTACATATCATACCTGAGATTTATGTTTTAAAATGCACCCCTTATTAGCCACCTGCATCACCACTATTGTACTCCGTGCTTAAGTTTAATGGCTCAAAACATAAGAGGCCCGTGATCAATTTAAATACCTGATGATAGCTTAACACTTGGATCCCTTTATAAATAAAATACCTGTTGTTTGCATCTTTTTTGGAAGGCAACCATTTTTTCAGGTTTAAATAAGATTTCAATTTAAATGCACTCTGATTTCCATAAGTAGTGTGGTTTTAGCACTTCAATAAATAAAATTCACCATTTTTTAAATTCTTTAACTTTTTAGGAGTTATCCCTTTTTTTTAGTATTTAGGAAATTATATTCTTAACACAATGAACACCAAAAAAACCTTCACATACCTGAGAGCTCTTCCCATGGTCTCATAATTCATATCAGGTTTGTTTTTGTGCTTCCCCCACAACCTGGATACTGCTTTAGAATCTACCAATTTAAAAATGCCTTTTTCTCTCTGGGTCCATTTGATATATTTAGGACAAGTAGCTTTATCCTGGAGCAGTGCCAGTAAAAACTCCCAAAGATAAATTGTGTTTCCTGAAACAAAAGAAATTTCTTTTAAACTGACCAAAATTTCACTTGAAACAGCACAATAAAACAGAACTAACAGTCTTAAAAGTTCCATCTATAGTTATATAAAAATATTACATAATTCAGTTATTACTGGTAATATAATGGCTATAATTTTTAGGGCCTAATATAGATTTTTTAATTAGTCCCACATACGATATCTCAGGACTGCAGGCCGACGCTCTAACCGCTGAGCCAAACCGGCCAGGGCCCACATACGATATCTCAACAGAGCAATCTTGCCAATTAGATTTGACATGACTTAGGGAGAAAGCCCTTTGAGACCATTTTTTTCCCACTTCTTTAAGAACCATTACATAGAGAAACAGTGAAAATGACTTGTTATAAAACCTTTCAATAGTTGTTCTCTTTATATTAGAGCCAGTGGATTACCTATAACAATTTTCTTTAAATTTGGAAAGCAGTTATTAAAATACTACAACTCCAACACAATGCAATAAAATGTCTATAAACTGAAAACCTACCCTGGCTGAATTCTTTCCAAGAGACTCATTATTATATGAATAAATGGATTAATTTGACAGGTGAGTGAAAATCTTTTAAAGGGATTTCTTGAGCTACATTATTACCAAGCTCTTTACAGAAAGTGGCAATTCTATCTTATGAGCACGAGGTAGCCGTAAGATCCATTTTAATATGTCCAGAAAGCTGGTGGTTTCTGCTTACAACATGCAGACATTATAAAACAATCTGAATGTTATTAAACCCATAAGTATTTTAGGGAAATCAGAGCAGTACACTTACCCTTCCCATCTTTGTTTTTTTTCTTCACAGATATGTTTGGTGTAGTGGCTGGGGAATCTGGTCGTGGCGGTTTAGTTTTCCTCCCTGAAAGCAGAACAGCTCTGCATAAATATTTGCCCTCAAAAGTGTGAAAGAGTAGACAATTTAGCTGTTTATACGTAAATACTATGTTGTCCTTTATCCTAAATTTCAAGTGCTAAATATTTTATACATGGATCACAAATATTGGTCTCTTTAAGTGCTATTTACTAGAAAACAATTTCAGTCGGGCTGATGTGGCTCAGTGGTTGAGTGCTGACCCATGCATCAAAAGGTCACTGGTTCAATTTCTGGTCAGGGTACCTGCCCAAGTTATGGGTCAAATTCCCAGTGAAGGGCATGCAGGCAGTCAATCTATGTTCTCTCTCATTGATATTTCTCTCTCTCTCATCGATGTTTCTCTCTCTCCCTCTCCCTTCCTCGCTCTCTAAAAATCAATATAGGTTAGATTTCAAACATGTTGAAAATGTTATTTTGGCTCATTTGTAAACATGAGATTAAGTTTAAAATAATGCATCTGTCTTTGAGTTGACAATACTGACAGTGCTTTCTTAAAATTCAGGGGAATATTCTTGATTCTGATAAAACTTGAGCTAAAAAAATATGCCACATAGGTTTGTCTGTTGGTTACATAAGATTTTTAAGGTAGTAAAGGTGCATTTTTAGCTTTTGTCTCTTCTAAATACATCTCTGCATAGTTAGTTCTCAAACTGGAAACTTTTCCAAACTCTAGATATATAAGAAATAAGTAATTTTTATATTGATTTTTCTAGGGAGAGGTAAAGAGGGAGGGAGAGAAAGGAAAGGAGGGAGGAAGAGAGAGAGAGAGAGAGAAGTTTGTTGCTCCACTTATTTATGCGTTCACTGGCTGAGCAGAGATCCACATTGCAACGGTGGTTTATCAGGATGACGCTCTAACCAACTGAGCAACCTGGCAGGGCCCATATCAGCCTTTCACCATTAATTAGCAAGTTAGCCTTCTACTTTTTAAAAATAGCTTTATTGAGGTATAATTCATATACAATAAACTGCATGTTTAAAGTTGATAATTTGATAAGTTTTGACATATGTATGCACTGTGAAACAAACCATCACTACATTCAAGATAATGAACATCTTCTGTATATTGCATTGTGGGCTCACCACCAAGTCTAGTCTTTTTCCATCACTATACCATGCATATGAGTGAAGTCATACGGTTGTTGTCCTTTTCCATCTGACATTTCACTTAGCATGATATATTCTCAAGATCCATGCATGTTGTCATAAATGGCAACATTTCACTTTTTTATTGCTAAGTACTATTCCATACATATATGTACCACTTCTTTTTTTTTTTATCCTCACCCGAGGACATTTTTCCATTCTTTGCTCAGATAGAGTGGGAGCGGAGAGAGAGACAGAGAGAAACATTGACGTGAAAGGGACACATCGAGTGGTTGCCACCCACATGACCCAACCAGGGCCGGGGACAAACTGCAACCGAGGCACGTGCCCTTAGCGGGAACCGAACCCGGGTCTCTCTGGACCGCAGGCCAACGCTCTAACCACTGAGCCAAACTGGCCAGGGCTATGTATCACTTTTTTATTGAATCGCCCATCAAAGGACTTTCAGGTTGTTTCCATGTCTTGGCTAGTGTGAATAATGTTGCAATTAACTTAGGGGTACATATATCTTTACGAATAAATGCTTTTACATTTTTGGGTATATATATAGAAAAGCTGGGTCATATGGTAGCTCTATTCTTAATTTTTTGAGGACCCTTCTTACTGTTTTCCATAGTAGCTATACCAATTTACATTCCCACCAGCAGCGTACAAATGTTCCTTTTTCTCCACATCATCTGACACTTATCTCTTGTCTTTGTGATGATGCCATTCTAATAGGTGTGAGGTGATATTGCATTGTGGGCTTGATACATTTTCCTGATGATCAGTGATGCTAAGCATCTTTTCATGTACCTGTTTGCCAATTGTATGTCTTTTTTAGAAAAAAGTCTATTAGCCCTGGCTGGTTTGGCTCAGCAGTTAGAGTGTTGGCCTGCGGTCCAGAGAGATCCAGGTTCGGTTCTTGCTAAGGGCGCGTACCTCGGTTGCGGTTTGTCCCCTGCCCTGGTTGGGTCGTGTGGGAGGCAGCCACTCAATGTGTCCCTTTCACGTTGATGTTTTTTTTTTCCTCTCTCTCTCTCCCTTCCTCTTTCTCCCTCCCACTCTATCTAAACAAACAAACAAACAAAAAAAGGAAAAATGTCCTCGGATGAGGATAAAAAGAAAAAAGTCTATTAGGTCCTCTACCCATTTTTTAATCAAAATTTTTTTGTTACTGAATTGTATGAGTTCCTTATGTATTTTGCCTATTAACCCCTTATCAGAGTATAAGTTGCAAATATTTTCTTTTTTTTTTTTCCCGTTCAGCTTTTTTTTTTCTTTTTAAATGTTTTCACTGATTTTTTTGAGAGAGAGAGGAAGGGAGAAAGAGACAGAAACATCGATGTGACAGAGAAACATTGATTGGCTGCCTCCTCCACGCTCCCTACTGGGGATCGAGCCTGCAACCTGGGTTTGTGCCCAGACTAGGAATTGAACCTGGACTTCTCAGTCCATAGGATGATGCTCAATCCACTGAGCCACATGGGCCAGGCTGATTTGCAAATATTTTCTTCCATTCCATCGGTTGCCTTTTCATTTTGTTGATTGTTTCTTTTGATGTGCAGAATATTTTTAGTTTAATGTAGTCCCAAGTATTAACTTTTGCTTTTGTTGGTTGAGCTTTTTGTGTCATATCCAAAAAGTCATTGCCAAGTCAGGTTCTATAATTCCTTCCTGACTAGAAGAGGAAGTTCTACCCAGTATTTTTGTAATAGTCTTAGCTTTAACAATTTAAAGAATTATTTTGCTTTAACAATTGCAAACACATTTGTTGAAAGTATCTGAGCCCGGCCAGTGTGGCGCAGTGGAGGGAGTGTTATCCCATAGATAAGAGGTCCTGGTTTGATTCCTGGTCAGGGCACATGCCTGGGCTATATGGGCTCAATCCCCAGTGGGGGGTGTGCAGGAGGCAGCCGTTCAATGTTTCTTTCTCACATCAATGGTTCTATCTTTCTCTCCCTTCCTCTCTCTCTAAAAAAATCAATGAAAACATATTTTAAAAAGTATCTATTTGATCATTCTATTACCTGAAGTTCTTGGCAAACTAACCTTAGGGTTTTCTATGCCTGCTGCTTCTTATTCAAGAAGTGTCTTCCTCACATATTTTGTGATACTGAAATATGAATTCACCTTCAACAGAGTTTTATTTGAGGGAATCCTGTGCAGCATGATTTGCCAGAAGAATTTTACAACAGCTTCTACCTGGCGTCCCAAAGTTATTGCTAGCCTGGGGTCACTTTTATGTAAATTACTTGGTTGGGAACTCCTAAGACAGTGACAGTTTAAAATCTAATTGTAAACCTAGGTTAAGACAAGCCTAGGAGTATAAATTTTTAAAGAAAGAATTTCTCCTCTCAGAGCCACAGCTGAGAAATACAAGCTTCCTTGATATCTGTCTGTGTCAATGGGCAAATTGTTTTTCTCCTGAGGGTACAGCCTTTCAAGGACCCCATTCATTATATGCTGAGTTCTCTTTCCCAGAACCCATCTTGCATTGGACCAAGATTTAAGCACGTGCCTCTACAAGGGCAATAAAACACAATCTGTTGAAATGTCAAGACTGACATGTCCTTCTCAGCCCTTCAGAGCAGTGTCAGCTCATTTTTACTGTTTTCATTCTCCTCTTGGAATTTTCCCTTCTTTTATGTGAAGTTAGGTTACCTGGTGGCTGATAGTGATACAATTAACCAAGATATTAAACAAGCTGAAGCAGAATGAGAACGCAATAAAATGGAAAGAGTGTTAGACTTTAAAATATAAGTCTGGCCGGTGTGGCTCAGTGGTTGAGTGTCAACCCATGCACCAAGAGGCTGCCGGTTTGATTCCTGGTCAGGATACATGCCCAGGTTGTGAGCTCGATCCCCAGTGGGGGGCATGCAGGAGGTGGCCAATTGATGTTCTCGCTCATCGATGTTTCTATCTCTCTCTCTCCCTCTCACTTTCTCTCTCTCTAAAATCAATTTTAAAAAAATTTAAAGAATGGTCTTAATTTGTGAAAAATTAAAAATACCCTTTAACACATTCTAACCTCTTCCTCTTCGATTACTTACCTGCTGATGTCCAACTTGTATTTTTCCATTGGAATCTATGCTGATGGTTTTCAAGCTATGTCCTTTAGGAATAGGCTGACCTGCCCCTATACCCAAGCTCTTTCTGAGTGTGAATAAAAGGGTTTAGATAAAACATTGAGGCTTTAGAAAGTTGGAATATATCTTTTCTGTGAGTTAGATCAAATATTTAAAATGTATAAAATAATTTAAGTTTTTACAAAAGTAATCTAATATGAAGAAATACCATTTATGTTTTGTGCTCTCAAGTTCTTACATAAGTTTTAATTTGTATAGAAGTATCCATAAATAAAAATTCTATTTAGATTCCACATCAAGATGTGATTGTACCTCCTAAAGAAATTAACCACCCACCTTTCTTTCTTTTAGGCTGTTCTGGTGAGGAGGCTCCCGGTGAGTGTGCATATGTTTCTTGAACCTGCTGAGCTTCCATCACTTCAGGAATCCCATCTAATGTGACGGATACATGGGTGATTGGGGCAACAACAATGTCATCTTCGGGTGAACTAAAAATATTATTATCTATTGGAAATAAAATCAACTAATCATCAACTTTGTATTATAAATCAAAATAATTTCATAAAATAACTTCCTGTTTCTATAAAAGACAAAGAAGAAGTAAAATCTTGAAATCTAGTCCCTGCTTTTTATTTTCTCTGCCCTAAATCAGATAGCCTAAGTCAGTCCAGGCTTGACTGAGTCTTTCAATGTCTCTCTTCCTGGACTTCCTATCACCAGTCTCTCTCATCTCTCTTCTCCATTCTTCACAGTGCTACCAAAGTTATACCCTGAAACCTAAGTCTGATTCTTCTCCATAAAAACTTTACACCTGAAAATTAAAAAGAAAAAGAAAATTGACATATCTTCCCTTAGTTTAGAGTGGAAAAATAAAATAACCCAAATTCCACTGTATGCCACACAAAGCTTCCACAGTCTAGATCAAACCTACCTTTCCAATTTGATCTCCACTTCGGCTATACCAAAACATTTTTATCTACAACATTTGATTCTCACTTACAAGTCTGTGCCTGTGGCTCAATCTATTCTTTCTACTTTGAATACCCTGTCCTGTCTCCTCTACCCATTAAAAACTTATTTGTCCTTTATAGCCTAGTCAAAACACTCCATCCATAAAGCTTGTCTCTGATGTTAGCTAGAGTTCTCTCTCCTTCCAGAAAATGTTGTGATCTCCTTCGTGGCTTTTATTTTTGGTTTTTACAGTTATTTACATAAATAACTGTTTTCAAAATTAAACTGTAAGAATGAGGTTATTTGTATAATACTATTGTCTTAATGCACTGGTATTCATATAGCACATTCAGTAAACATTTTGAATTATTATTAATTAATTTTGAGTTTAACTACTTTCTTGTCAGAAAAGCCCCAAGGAGTACATGAATTTATATGCACATCAGAATGTTTGTGATGGGACAAAGTCCTGCCTATGTGCCATGGAGAACTAACTCTGTGTGACAGAGGTGGCGATATAAAATGGGGCAGCCCTGGCTGGTTTGGCTCAGCGATAAGAGCGTCAGCCCGTGGACCGGAGAGTCCCGGGTTCAGTTCCTGCTAAGGGCATGTACCTCGGTTTCAGTTTGTCCCCGCCCCAGTTGGGGTCATGTGGGTGGCAACCACTCAATGTCTCTCTCACATCAATGTTTCTCTCTCTCTCCCTCCTGCTCTATCTGAAGATAAATGCAAATATGTCCTCGGGTGAGGATAAAAAAAAAACAAAAAACAAAACAAAAAAATACAATGGGACAGAGGGAGAACCTGACTGAGAAAACAGATTTACAGGAACTTCCTGACCACTGTGACCTTGGTAACCGGAGTTTGAAGTTTCCCATTCCCCTTGGATCCTTGCTGACATCTGATGACATTAGTCACCCCTGACCTCAAATCGCTCAGTTTCCCCCTCCCCTTAAAATAAAAGAAGACGAATTCTGTACTTTCTCAAGATGGTTCTTTAGAATACTAGTCTGCCATTCTCTTTGCTTCTTGGCTTTCCAAATAAAGTCGTTTGCCTAGACCCCCCTGCCCCCACAATAAAAAAATAAAAGCAGATTAAGTGTGGCAGTGAATTTTATGCCATGAAGTGTTAGAAAACTTTTCAATGGATGTTTGCCTATTCACAGTATCTATAGAGATCACTAAATAATAATAGTTTGGGTTCTAAACACCCTAATACATTCACCAATAAGGTTAAGAGAAGAAATTCTGCATAATCCGCTATTTGACAACTACATAAATTACTTTTTTATTCCTAAAGGCCTTATTCCCCAAATTAAAAAAAAAAAAGTATTGTTTAATTGAACACATTTGCAAAGGTGTCTCAACTAGTACTGTAGCTTAAAGTGCCCTTAGGACAAAAAAAAGTATAGAACATAGTCTCTGTTCTCTTAATATTTTTCATTTAGTAGGAAGAGATGGCAAAAATAACTTGTCAAAGTATATAAATATGAATAATCATAACACATAACCACTCACTTATTCGTTTTTCATCCAGCATAGGGCCAGGAGAATCCATATTGAGGAGTGCCTCAGCAGCCTCGATAGTTTCAATTGTTTCATCACCATTATGACAGGAAGCTTCAACTATAATACATTTCAAGAAAAAAATAGAATTAGTACAAGCTATCTGTTGCTCTAAAACGCATAACTTCTAATGTCTTGAACCAGGATATATAACTTAAACTTGGGTTTATATACTGACTTTGTATCAACATATAAAACCTATACTATATGAGACTATTAAATGCTTGCCGATTTCTTTTAAAAATATCTGTAAGATGTGAGGTTTTTATTAAAAAAGAAAACAAGCCCCAGTTGGGTGGCTCAGTTGGTTAGAGCATTGTCTCATACAACAAAATGTTTGCGGGTTCAATTTGAGGTCAGGGCACATACTGAGATTGCGGGTTTGATCCCTGGTTGGGGTGCGTCTGGGAGGCAATCAAAGTTTCTCTTATAGCAATGTTTCTCTCCACCATGCGCCAATCAATAAAAACATATCCTTGAGTGAGGATTAAAAAAAAAAAAGAGCCCTGGCCTGTATGGGTCAGTTGGTTGAACACTGCCCTGTGCACCAAAGGGTCCCTGGTTTGATTCTGGTCTGGGCACATACTGAGGTTGCGGGCAAGATCCCTGGTTGGGGCGCATAGGGGCAACCGATCAATGTTTCTCTCTCACATGGATGTTTCTTTCTTTCCCTCCCTCCTCTCTCTAAAAATTAATAAACAGCCCTGGCCGGTTTGGCTCAGCGGTTAGAGCGTCGGCCTGCGGTCCTGAGAGACCCGGGTTCGGTTCCCGCTAAGGGCGTGTGCCTCGGTTGCAGTTTGTCCCCGGCCCTGGTCGGTTGTGCGGGTGGCAGCTACTCGATGTGTTCCTTTCACGTCGATGTTTCTCTCTCTCTCTCTGTTCCTCTCTCTCCCTCCCACTCTACCTGAACAAAAAAATGGAAAAAAATGTCCTCGGGTGAGGATAAAAAAAAAAAAAAAATCAATAAACATATCCTTGTGTGAGAATAAAAAATTTTTAAATAAAGAAAATGAGATAACTACTCTGTACCACTATAAAACATAATATACAATTGCTAAAGACTGTATAACAGCAGATTATTTAACTTACTTTTATACATCAATTAATTTGGCTGACTGCCTTCCCAAGGGAGGAATCCCATGATGGAATGGAAGGAATAAACTGCTGAAGAAGCAGAGAGCCAGGATAATTCCTGAATGGTGCATACAAAGAAGTTCATTTCCCTTCAATTAGGAAGAAACTCCTAACAAAAAACATTTTCACCCATAAAAAAAAAAAAAAAAAAAGGCTAATGCTGGCAACCTGCCAAGCTAAAAGAGAAGCTCCTTCTTCCAGATATGAAAAATGTATCTGCAGAATTCCATACTTTTGGGATTGATTCCCTCAACTTTTCTCTATGAACCCAAATAGCTATAAATCACACGGCGGTTGAAGAATAAGAAGATAGCCAATATAAAAGGAGGCAAGGATTTTAATCTAGCCTGGATTTTTCAAACAGCAATTCGACCCTTCATGGAGTCTTCCCCTTTCAAAGGCTTTGAAGTTTTCCTCTTAGGGCAAGCAGTTACATTTCCGAGTTACTACAAAAAGCAACCTAGAGAACTTGAATAGATTTTTGACTAGATTTTATTTTGAAAAGTTTATGTCCTTTTCATTTTCATGTAAAGATGCACAAAACTTCATTAGGAGACTACTGATGAATAGAAACTATTCATAGTCTTAATTAGGAGGTAATTTCCCCTAATTGTAATGAAAAATAAATCAGTTACATTTTAATTATATATTCTATAAAAACAAATGCTTAAAAGTCCAATTTCTCTATAACAGTTAAAATTGGAAATGATAAATACCTCAAAAATGCCAGCAAAATGATTAAAGCAGGGCACCGTGACACTTCCTATTAAAAACTTAAACCTTTTATTTAAAATCTTTTAAATTTAAGGCAGATTTAAAAAGCATATTACTGCCCTGGCCGGTTTGGCTCAGCGGTTAGAGCGTCAACCTGCGGTCCTGAGAGACCCGGGTTTGGTTCCCGCTAAGGGCGCGTACCTCGGTTGCAGTTTGTCCCCGGCCCTGGTCGGTCGTGCAGGTGGCAGCCACTCGATGTGTTCCTTTCACATCTATGTTTCTCTCTCTCTCTCTCTGTTCCTCTCTCTCCCTCCCACTCTACCTGAACAAAAAATGGGAAAGTGTCCTCAGGTGAGGATTAAAAAAATTTAAAAAAATAAATAAATAAATAAAAAGCATATTACTTCTCTGTCAAGGCTTTGAAATTCTATGACTTGAAAAAAATATCCTAGTAAAATTAAAGTTTCAAAAATCAGGCAAACAAGGGACAGATAACTCAACAATTAACTATTATCTTCTAAATATTTACATAACTCTAAGTATCCATTTATATAAATAAGTTTATAAAATATTTTAAAGTATGCTGGGTAGATAAAAATAATAAAATTAGCATGTATAACAATTTAGTTGCCTATCAGTTACAAACAACAAGAAAAAATTCAAATCACTTAATTGTACAACTTTATAGAATGAAAAATTTCAAACACATACAAAAGTAGAGAAAATCATATAATAAACTCACATATAAAGGGCCCAGCTGAATAAGTCTCCTGTGTTTGAAAAAGTTGGTTTTGTTTAAATCAGGATCCAAACAAAATTCATGTATTACCATTTGGTAATATGTACTGCCTTTCTCTCCCCCCCAACCCCTACCCTTTTGCTGTTTTATCAGAGAAGAAACAGGATCATCTGTAATTTCCCACATTTTAGATTTTACTCATTATACCTCTGTGGTGCCACTTGCCATACCCCCTGATGTATTTCCTATAAAGTGGTAGTTATATCTAAAAGGTTGATTAGATCAACATTCCTTTTTTTTGGGCAAGAATACTTCAAAGGCCATGCTGTGCTATTCTATGTGCCTCCTGAAGTAATGTTATAAAGTCTAATTATATTCTTTCCATACTGCTAAGATTGAGCATCAGATTAAAGGGCTATCAGCCTGATCTATCCATTATAAATTCTCCACTAGCCTTTCATCTAATGGCTTTAGCAGTTATTAATGACAGTTGCCTAGATCCACTATTTCATTAGGGATCCCAAAATAATGTTAATCCTATCATTCTTCCAGCATTTATTAGCTAGACTTCCCTATAAAGAACAACTTATCTGGTTACCCTGAGTCAAGGTTCATAAAATAAAGGCAAATTAAATGCTTAATTCAGAATAATAAATGGGCTCCTAGCATCTTCCAAAGTGATCATTCAGTTATTTTTTTTAATCCTCACCCAAGGATGTTTTTCCATTTATCTCCAGATAGAGTAGGAAGGAGGGAGGGAGGGGGAGAGAACGAGAGAGAGAGAGAGAGAGAGAGAGAGAGAGAGAGAGAGAGATATCACTGTGAGAGAGAGATATCACTGTGAGAGAGACATACCAATTGGCTGCCTCCCACATGACCCCAACCAGGGCCAGGGACCAAACGGCAACTGTGGTACATGCCCTTGACAGGAATCAAACTCGAGACTCTTTGGTCGGTGGGCTGACACCCTAACCGCTGAGCCAAACTGGCCAAGGCCTTTTGAGTTGCTTTTTTAGTATCACTGTGAATACTTAGATCTTAACATATTTGATATTCTTCAATTCTCTGTGGTTGTAATTCTTTTATTATTTCTTTTTTCCTTTATTGATTTAGAGTGAGAGGGAGAGAGATAGAAACATCGACTAGAGAGACTATCGACTGGCTGCCTCCTACATGCCCCTCACCAGGGATTTGGCCCACAACCTGGACATGTGTCCTGACAGGGAATTGAACCAGTAACCTCTTGGTGCATGGGTCCACACTCAACCACCCACCCACACTGGCAGGGCTGTGGTTGTAATTCTTTTTTTATTTTTTATCCTCACCCAAGGACATTTTTCCATTTTTTGTTCAGATAGAGTGGGGCGGGGGGAGAGGGAGAGAGAGAAACATCGATGTGAAAGGGACACATCGAGTGTTTGGCACCCACATGACCAACCAGGGCCAGGGACAAACTGCAACTGAGGCACGTGCCCTTAGCGGGAACCTATCCTGGGTCTATCTCGACCGCAAGCCGACGCTCTAACCGCTGAGCCAAACCGGCCAGGGCTAGAATTCATTTTCAGAATTACATGATTTATTTACATAGAATTTATTTACAGACTTATAGAATCTTTACTTGTGCAATTTAACATTTGTAAAAAAGATTAACATTTTAATCTATAATTCTTAGCTTCTTATGACATTAACTCCATTACTTATTTGACTACCCTAATATCCCTCTCACACACAGTTTTAAAATAACAATAACCATATTATTACTAACAATATAATTGCTGAAAATAATTTAACTTTCCTTCGCAGTTTTGTTTTTGCTTTTTAGGTTATATCCCATTGTAAAATGTAGACCCTTAAAGTTTCAGTATACTTCAACTTTAGAGACTGCCAATTTTCTCACTTTTGGATTTACTTTTGTTTTATAATTCTGTTAAACATTTACACAGATCAAAAAGAAAAAATACAAAACAAAGTACATTTAGAGAATTATAGCTTTCATTCCTGTCCCATTCCTTCACTCTGTAATGAACCACTTCATTAGGTTTTTTGGCTTATATTCCTAGTTCTTAAATATAAGTGAATACACATATGTATATTCTTTCACCTATCTTAAATAAAAGGAAACATACTATTCAAGCTATCTGGACCCCTGCTTTTTAAACTTCATATACAGTAGAAATAATTCCATAGTTTTATATAGAAATCATGCTACCATCTGAAATTTTTAAAATGTAAAGGAAGCTAAACAGGTTTAATTATCAGTGGTCTAATTTGTAAAGCTTTATTTCATTCAGCTTCAGTGCTTAGGTTGTGAAATGCAACATAAAGTGGTGGGTCTCACATGAAACAGGAAAGAAAACTGAACACCCCCAAAAAGTACATATAGCTTTTAAAACTATAAATATTTACTAATAAAGTCATCATGGTTACCACCTTACATTTGTAGAAATATAATTTCTACCATGCCCTTTAATAA